AAAAATTAATTTATTGATCAGTCTTAGAGGATATGAATTTTCAACAAAAATATTCCGTAAGAGGTTAAGATCCTGTTGGAGATGATCTGGATGTGATAACCTTTTGACACGTTCTTTCATTGCTAGGACTAGGTTGGTTTTCATTCTAGGAGGATGATGGGAATGGTAGCTTATGAATCTATTGCTACATATAGGTTTTCTATACCATTGTGTTTTCACAACATTATCCTCACATCTATGCAAACGCATGTCAAGGAAGGGCAAAGATCCCTCCCGCTCTTCCTCGCACGTGAATTGCAAGTGTGGGTTGTGTTGGTTGAAAACATTTAAAGTAAATTGTATAGAGTCTGCTGGTAGTGCCAAGATTAAGTCATCCACGTATCTTTTTATAAAAGGTATTTCAAAATTGATTTGTTGCAAACAATCTTTAATCAAATCGTCTAAGACATAATTACAGAGAATTGGTGAAATGGTGGACCCCATTGGAGTACCAAAGACTTGTTTGTAGTAACAGTCATTAAAAATAAAAACATTAGAGTCAAAAACAAAAGAAATGAGTTTTTTGATATTAGATAAGTTAAGAGTTGTGTGCATTGATATGTCATCCCAGTGTTTCTCAACACTAACCAAAATTGTTTGTAAAGGTAAATTAGTAAACAAAGACACTACATCAAAACTAACGAGCTTATAATTGATAGGTAATTTTAAGTTATTAATAAAAGAACTGAAACTGAAAGAGTCCTGAATGCAGAAATCATTGTTACTGTAGGTTTCTGTGAGAATATTGGTTAAAAAACTTGCTATGGGGCTATTAGGTGTACCTATTGAGGAAACTATTGGTCTCATAGACAAGGTAGGTTTATGAATTTTTGGAAGTGCATAAAATCTAGGAGCAATTGAATTATAAATTTTCAAAGTTTTCCCAACTGATTGATCTATTTGATTCTCCTTTACCAAATCAGAAACTAGTTTATTAGCCTTTTGTTGCAGAGTACACACAGGATTGTTGTTTAACTTTTTATAATATTTAGTGTCTGTTAATAAGTCTTCACATTTTTGTATATAGTCCCTAGTGTACATTGCTACAGTGACATTGCCTTTGTCGCTCTGAACAATCTTGATCTCAGGGTGATGTTTCAAAAAAGTTTTGCATTTAATGTAGTATTTATTTAAAAAGTGGTCTTTTTCATCTTTGTTGAGAAAGTTCGTGATAATATTAGTGCATTTGGACCTTGGAATGTCCTTATCGACATTCTCAATTGGTCTTAAAATGTTCTCGATGTCTGCCAACAAAGAGGAAACTTTGAAATCTTTTTACTTAATTATAGTGGTAATATCTTTACCACCAAACGTATGCTTGTAGATATTCTGCAGTTCGAAGTTATATCTACGCCTCCATATTCCGTTCTCACAGACCGCTCCAAATATCTTGCGTAGCACCTTTCTTTCAAAAATGGATAGAGCGGATTCATCTGTTTTCGTTAGCGTCCATGCCTCTGATCCGTATGTGAGAACGGGGACTATCAGTGTTCTATACAGCCTTATACGAGTTTTTTGAGACAGACGTTTGTTAGCTAAGTACTTTGATATACCATAATAACACCTGTTTGCAATTATTATTCGCCTTTTTATTTCCTCAGATGTATTATTATTGGGGTTAACCGATGTCCCTAAATATATGAACTCATTGACTGCTTCGACGTTTTGGTCATTGATGATTAAATTTGTGTCAACATTTCCAGCTCTTGTGTTTGTGTTAGTCGCCATGAATTTGGTTTTATTTTGATTTATATGTAACCCCATTCGTTCTGCTGCTGCTACTAGCTCGGTTAGGATTTCCGCAGTTCTCGCCCTGGTTCTTGTTATAATGTCCACGTCGTCTGCATATGCTAGAATTTGGACTGATCTATTAAATATTGTTCCCCTGCTATCTAAATTAGCGTCTCGTACAACTTTTTCTAAGGCGACATTAAAAAGCTGACACGCCAGCGCATCTCCCTGCCTTAACCCCCTATGTATTTGAAATGGGATTGACGAGTCGTTTTGAATTTTTACTGCTGATAGCACCTTCGCCATTGTCACTTTTATCAAACGTATGAGTTTTTTTGTAATTCCTAACTCATTCATAGCGTTGTAAAGACTTGGTCTTAAGACACTGTCATATGCCGCTTTAAAATCGACAAAAATATGATACATATCTATGTTAAACTCTTGCGCTTTTTCGAGGATCTGTCGTAGTGTAAAGATCTGGTTAATGATTGAACGTCCAGGCCTGAATTCTGCCTGATATTCCCCTAGAAACATTTCAGTATAAGGCTTTAATCTCTCGTGCAAAATATTTGATAATATCTTGTATGCTGTATTTAGGAGAGTTATTCCGCGGTAATTATTGCATTCCACATTGCTCATAATACAATCAAACAAAATATCATCAATATTATATTATATATATATATATATATATATATATATATATTTATATATATATATATATATATATATATATATATATATTATATATATATATATATAACTATTAATTGTATTGGTGTATTGTCTTATTTAAAATAAACTCATTTCTTTTAATTCTCTATATTTCGCTGATTTTTTATCAGCTTCTTCAGGAGATAACTAAAATATGGTTAGACTTTATATAAATATCAAGTGAGAATAAACAATGAATCACTTACAGATTTAGAGTTAAAAATATTTAAAAAAGTTGATGTACATAATATGTTCAAGACAGTACGAACAATACTGGTGAAAAGCACCTAGGTCAGTAGTAATTAAATATAAAAACAAAGCAAACAAAACCAACCAAGAGACAATTAAAAAACAATAAAATTAGACATTAAAAATATAAAGGGTGATTTAAAATATAATTGTAAACAGAAAGATTATTTGAACATACAGTGGAACCTCGATTATCCGTCAGGGCACCGGACCAAGGGTATGACGGATAATCGAAAAGACGGTTAACAGAACATTAAAAAAATTCATAGTATAACTCTCAAATTTTATTTGTATGTTTTATCTGACAATATAAGAGGGATTTATGTTAGTACGGTCGAACCAGTTTAATTTAAAATATTCCGAAATCTTTGTTTGTTTTATTGTTATTTCACATTTTGCAACGGCTGAATTTCTTAATCGACGTAAAATCATCAAATCTACGTTATTTGCTTCTTTTTGCTGAGAATACAACTCGATGAATTTTTGTATGTGCGATGCAGCTTCTCTAACTTCTCTACGCAAATCTTTGTTGCAATAGCATCATCAACATCACCACCGTCAAAGTTTGTGTCAGCTTCTGAATCAGTTTCGTCCGCCTCTGTTGCCATTTTAACGATTTTATGATATGTTAGCAATCGATAGCCGTTTGCATCCTCATCACAAATTAACCATTCGTTTATGGCATCTTTAGGTAACGAAAACAAAACAGTTGATTCAGCCATAACTTCATTTGTTACCGCATCATGCTCGGCTGTCACAGTGGCATTTTAATCTTGAGTTGATTCAGGTTATAATTAATTCCTCGCTCTTTTCAGCGTTAGTTACGAAACATCAGCCCAAGCATCCACAGCATTGTCGATTGCGTGTTTTAAATTGTGTGCTTTCCAGTATTCTGGCAAAGAATATTCCTCTTCCATAACTAGGTTTTGAATCAATTTTTTTCTGTATCTTCTTTTGAATGTTTTAATGACCGATTGATCCATTTGCTGTATCAATGATTTATTCGTAGGCAGAAAAGAGCACGTGATATTTCCATCGTCACTTCGCAGCATACCGACTTCAGGATGAGCAGGGGCATTGTACAAAATGAGAAAAGCTAAAAACAAGACGTTAGAAAAATAGACAAACAAATTCTGGTTTGCAGTACATACATTTTTGAACCAGTCAGCGAATATTTCCTGGGACATCCATGCATTATGTTGTGCGTAGTAGTTAACGGAAAGTGCGTTCCCATTTATACCCTTGAAACAACGTGTTTTTTTTTGCTGTACAAATCAATAATCAAGGAAGGCGATGGTCACCACTTGCATTTGAACACATCATTGCTGTAATTCGTTTATTTTGCGTTTTAAATCCGGGTGCATATTTTTCAGACAGTGCAGCGAGTGTTTTCGTTGGTAATGCTTTGTAGTTTAACCAGTTTCATCCGCATTGAACACACGCGTGTCAAACCATATTCATCGATCATAGCTTGAAACTTTCAATACTTTCAAAGTTTGTTTCGTCAATAACTTCAATACTTGCGGAGCTCAATTTTTCACCTTCGATTTTCAATTCCCGTATACCGTGGCAATTTTTGAACTTTTCCAACCAACCGCTGCTTCCTTTGAATGAAGGATCGCCATTCAATTTCATGTTAAAGAACAACGCTTTTTCGGCAGCAATTGGTCCAGACAACGGAACACCTTCGCTTCTTTTTTGAACAAACAAATACAGAGCCGTGTCAAATGATTCATTTGTGGCGTTTTTCATTGCCTTACGATGTTTCATCCGGCCATCCAACGATTCCATTTGCGAAGCATACTTCAATTCCTTCAGCATTTTTCTTTAAATCGAATTTCGTTTGGCTTATCGCAATGCTCAAACAAAATAATTGATTACTAAATTTTTACTTATATAGTCAATATAACTTATGTATGGACCCTGACGGTTAACAGAGGTGACGGTTAATAGAGAGACGGATAATCGAGGTTCCACTGTACTAAGAATATTACAGTAGATGTTGCTCAACTGTCCCGTGTCTGCCTTGTAATTTACTGCATAGTTTTCTCTATTAATATGACTAAATAACTATCTTAAATGTTCTTATCTCCCATTGCATAAAATGCTATAAATATTGCATCTTTCTCAATTTCCGTCAGTTTTTCAAAGTAACGGCTACGACACTCATACCTGGACCTTTGTTTCTAGCTGTAACAGTTTTCTCACTAATAGTTGAGTATTTTGTTCCAGAATTTCTTTGCAATTTTCTAATATTTCTTACTTACCTTCTATAGTTGTGCTGCTTGGCTTTTCATTTGATTCGACTGCAGTTATATTCTTTGATATCTTTTCCCGATTCAAACCTGAACCAGTAGCTTTGTCCATCTTATCTGCAATTACATTTTTATGTGAACATTATATATTTTTAAAACTTTAAATTATATTAACTTTAAATTATATATTTAAATACAAAATTACATTCTTCGATACCATTGTTTAAATCATACTTTTTTCTAATTTTGTTGCAACTTTCTTTTTCCACTACAGAATGTATGTCAGTATCACTATTATCGGAATCATGGTATGGATCCTAACCTTACCACACCTAACCTAACCTATTTTTCACCAGAAAACATGTGAATCACATGGCCCATTATTACTCTAAATACCATCGATCCTTAGGACTATGCTCCACGTGATCATCTATGATCACCACCTATGATCATGGTCATCAATGACGCTACAACTCTTCGTGAGTCTTTGCCGCGTTTACTATCGCCTTCCATGTTTATCGGTCCTGTGCCAGTAATTCCCATTGTTGCACTCCCATTTTCTCTAGATCTTTGTTGACTCCATCTTTCCACCTTTTTCTAGGTCGCCCTACAGACCATCTTCCATCTGGCTTTTCACAGAACACATTGTTTATAAGGCGATTACTGCGTATCACATGCCCTACCCATCTGAGTCTATTGGCCTTTATATATCTGACTAGATTTTCTTTTATGAATAGAGACTCTAGTTCGTTATTGTACCTGCCTCTCCATTGGTTTGTCATGCTGTCTCTGCAAGGGCCATATATCATTCGAAGAATTTTACGTTCCCACACCAGCAATTTATTTACTTCTCTTTTTGTTAGCGTCCATATTTCGCTTCCATATGCGACTGCTGGTCGTATTATGGTCTCATATATCCGGATTTTTGTATATTTTCCTGCCATCATTCTCGTTTCAACTTCTCGCTCTAATTTGATGTCATTTGTGATTGTTGCTCTTAGATATTTAAATTCTTTGGCCACTTCGTTGTGATCACTTATAGCAATGTTTTGCCTTATTTGTCGTTACTGCGTATCACACGCCCTGCCCATCTGAGTCTATTGGCCTTTATATATCTGACTAGATTTTCTTTTCTGAATAGAGACTCCAGTTCTTTATTGTACCTGCCCCTACATTGGTTTATCACGCTGTCTCTGCAAGGGCGATATATCATTTGAAGAATTTTACGTTCTCACACCAGCAATTTATTTACTTTTCTTTTTGTTAGCGTCCATATTTCGCTTCTATACGCGACTGCTGGTCGTATTATGGTCCCATATATCCGGATTTTTGTATATTTTCCTGTCACCATTCTCGTTTTAACTTCTTGCTCTAATTTTTTGTCATTTGTGATTGTTGCTCCTAGATATTTAAATTCTTTAACCACTTCGTTGTGATCACTTATGGTAATGTTTTGCCTTATTTGCCGTCATTCTTATTTTGAGACGACTATGTATTTTGTTTTGTCTTCATTTATTTTTAGACCGATGTTCAATGCAGTTTCTTTAAAGCTCGAGAAAATATCCTTAATTTCTAATGTTGATTGTGCTACTGCGTCTACGTCATCGGCAAAGGCGAGTATGATTTTTGCTCCCCGAGCAGTTATGTCTGGTTTGATTTTTGGATATATTTTTCCCATGACATATTCTAAGTCCAGGTTAAACAACAATGGTGACAAGGGATCTCCCTGTCTCAGTCCAGAATTTACGCAGAAAACATTTCATATTTTTCCTCCTATTCTAACTTGTGCAAAAGAGTTACTTACTCACACACATTTGTGTTACCGCAGCTAGTTTCTTGGGTACGCCGAGCTCGATCATTGCCTTCTATAGTCTATAAAAATTCTATAGAAAATATATTCTATATTCTAAAATTCTATATAAAAGTCTATAAAAATATGATGCACGTCGTGATTATATTCCCAATACTTTTCAAGCATTTGTTTTATTGTAAATATCAATATCAATAGTCGATCTGCTCGGACTGAAACCACACTGGTAGTCACCAACTATTTCTTTGGCGTATGGTACTATTTTTTTTTAATAATACAGAAGCCAATATTTTAAATGTACTGTGTTTTGATATGATGGTATGATGGATGTGTTTAAACCGATAGTAAACAATATTGGCTGTAAAAAGTTTGTTCATCTTTATAGCCATACTTAACTAAAATGTTTTACAGAAAATTAATATACTTAGACCGATATCGTTTTTGGAATTTTTAATTTAAAATTTTTAAAATGTCAATAAAAATGCCATAAGAAACATAGAAGAAAAGAAGAAGAACCGCTAAGAATTTTTTTGCTTTTAGCTATTTGAAATTTTAAATATTGTTTGTCTTACACTTGTAACACTTTTATAATAATAAAATGTGGAAAAATGTATTCTTACTGCTGATATTAGACAAACCCCAATACACGTACGTATAATTGGTTGCCTACAACCCGAATCACATATACCATTCTTTTGTCTAAAATACCAATAAATTATGGTAAAGCAGTATCATACTATTCTTATAGCTTAATAATAAAAATATTATTTACTGATTATTGGACCTGTTTGTTTTTTTCAGAGATTATTCTTTATTCTCATTATTTAGCAGTCAAGTTAAAACATTTAACAATTAATGTTGTAGTATTTTGTTCTTTATCACAAGAAATAACAGATGTTTACTAAAAAAAAATTAAAAGAAAAAAGTAGTAGAATTTTTTAGGTAAGAACTAGACAAAACAAACTGCCATCTATTGGGTTGAGGATATAACTTTTAGGTAGTGTTTATATATGTTTTATAAACATAATCATGAAAAATACTTGTCTAAATACCGTAAAAGGGTCAAATTTCAACCTAAATTTTACGAATTACTATTTGGTATACTGAGGCTCATTAATATACTTTTTAGCCTATTCAATTCTATAGGTAATATCCTTTTAAAAACTAAAAAAAAAGCGAAAATACTATCTAATTTGTTTTTTTTTGTATTTCTGATATTGAAGAATTGTTCTATTGCTCCATTGTTTTTTTTAATACCGTTACAAGCATACTGTAGGCACCAGTAATAGGTCAGGCAGTGAAGTTGGGAATATGGCAAAACCTTGCAATTTTTTCTTCTATCATCGACTTGTACAAAATTTTGAAATTATGCTTATTTCACCCTCTTATTCATATTCTATGTTGAGCTGTTGTACGCTTTTGGTATTTTAAAGGTGAAAACTACCCTTAATTATAAAAAAATAAAAAATAACATTTTAAACTTTAATATGGTCAAAATTTGGTCTTTATTAGTTAAATAATGATTGTTTTATACTTTAAGATACAATACCATAATATTTTAATCCGTAAACCACCCGTGTTGGAGTTGGATATTAAAAAAATTTATTTATTCTAAAAATCGGCTTGCATCGATTTGCATAAAATTGATAATCTTACCGTATTATATATCATGCTCAGGACGTTCATTATTTTTAGGGGTGTAAACTACTCCTTATTTTCAAAAATTATATGAAAACAATGTACAAACCTTGGTAAATAGGTAAGTTGATTTGATTGTGAATAATGATAACATTACAATTTTTATAAGCAATTTAATGAATCTATGCACAATCTCCCAAATCTCTCCACCAGCTACTACATCTACAGAGGAACCTGCTTTTATTACACCAACAAATAAAGTTAATCAACGAAATATACAGTCACACACGTGGAACAAAATATTACGTATTACTGCCGAAAAACTGGTTCTGTGGTATTATATGCATTTAAAATGCTCTATTACACTCCCAAGCGGGTTATTCGAATTAAAGAAAAAATCGTTTTATGAACATAGCTCCTTCATTTTTTGCGATAAAAGTTTTTTTTTGAAAATAATTTTTTGAAAAAGCTTAAAGACTATAGACTGTATGTTAAATTGCGTAAGATCCTTTAGTTTTTAAGTGAAGTGAGTTTCAAAGGCTCGATTAAGGGGGTGATTGCTCGCAAAAGAGGTTTTAAACAACTATACCTTGCTAAATTTTCACTGTGAAGAAAATCAATGTGTAGGATAATTTTAGTTATTAAAAAAGCTACAATTTAGTACTTTATCATTTAAAAAATTTTCACCCCCAAAGTTTTGCCCAAATGTTATCCCCAAATGCCACAGCGGCATGATATAGAAAATGATCCTTGGGATATAACCTATCTTCTGTGTAAATTTCAAGTAAATTCATCTTCTTCTGCTTCACTGGCTTTACAACTCAGGGTGAGTCTTCGCTGCATCCACTATCGGTCTCCATCCTCTACGATCTTGCGCTTCTATTTCCCATTGTTATACCCCAATTCTAGATAAATCGGCTTCAACATCATCCTTCCATCCTTTTCTCGGTCGGCCTACTGATCTTCTACCATCTGGTCTTTCAAAAAACACTGTCTTTAACACTCTGTCATCCTCTGATCGTGCCACGTAACCTGTCCATCTTATTCTGTTTGCCAAGTAAATCCATGGTGGCCAAAATGCGAAAATGTTATTGCCTGGCTTATAAGTGTTCTTAAACTTTTATCTTCTGGAATAAATATGTAACATTTAACGATAACTCATTACCTAACAGACGGATCTGCTTCAAATTTTGTTCATTTGTATAGGCACATAATAAAATTTCTATCAACGTGTTAAATGTTACTAAGGCCGTTATTGCAAAAGTTATTATCATTGATTAAATAATACAAAAAATGTTTTTTACAATTATCTCCGCAATTTATTGATGGAGATGAACTTTTAAAAATTTAAATTAACTGTGCCTCCATAACACAATAGTTTCTCTATGCAAAAATTGCTCTTGATGTAATCAAAAAATGGTATAAGTAAAAACTACTTCTTCGGGCTATGATCTTTGCTTATAAAAAATATAATGCCGATCTCAAAGTACCTGAAGACCTATTTTTCATTCATTTATGTCCTTTCTATTTAAAGGTGTTGGATACCTGTAATAAATTTTCCCTTGAGATCGACCATTTTTCTTTTCTTGAATGGCCTTTTCTCATATTTTTCTTCTATCAATATAATATATGCAATGCGAATGGTTATTTTTCAGAAACTTGATTAAAA